ACTGCTATAAATAGGGTGAATTTTATTGTAGTTTCCCAGGAATTCTCAAATTCACTCCAGTTAAACTGGTGTAGTTACCAATTGTATCATTTTTTAATCTTTTAAATGCCTATCTTGGGGCTTCCCAGAATCTGCCTTCCAGTGCAGGAGATACAGGTTGGATCCCTGGATTGGGAACATGCCCTGGAGTAGGAAATGGCAACCCACTCCAGTATTCTTGCCAGGAAAATCCCGTGCATAGAGGAGCCTGGCAGGCTGTAGTCCATGGATACAGTCCATGGGGTGGCAAAGAGTTGGGCACGACTGAGCCACTGAGCAAAAATATACATGATGCTTTGTTTATATTTTTTAAAGAGTAGAAACTTTTTTATGTAACATAGTGTAAACATACAAAAATAATTTTATCTTCACGATGCATGTTTTAAAAGTTAAGATACTAAGACGTGCGCTTGATTTGGTTTTACAGTTTAATTGGACCAGTTACATTCTCTGGGCATATAGGCGAGTCTTCCTATGTGGCATTCATGAGTGGAACACTGTTGTCATCAAGTTAACCCAGAAGTTCAATGAAATATAGTTTTATATTAGGTGCTTGGGTTTTTGTAGTCCAAGGGTACTCTGGACAAAAATTCTTATTCTTGCAGGAGATAATCCTGTTTTTATTTTGCTAGCAAAATGGTTAAGGAAATAGTCTTCTGGGTGACAGAAAATGGTGGAATGTAGAAATGTGTCCTTTTGTTACAGTTAATGATTACAATATCACTATATTGTAACATATAGTAACAGTTAATATTAAGTGCTTACTACCATACACTAAGTTCCTGCAGTTATGATTTTAATTTTAGAGATGGAAGAACTGAGGGGCATTAGAAAAATTGTTACTAGCTCAGGAATACAGTAGTGGAGGGTGTTAAAATTTTGCCCTGGGAGAATTGGTCAAAGAAAATATGAGGGTTTCCTTTTGCTGCATCTGAAGTACTCATTCACTGTTTTAAAATAGAGCACTCTGTTTCAAAGTTCACTTGTTATATCTTACTGGTCATAGATTTATCAGTTCAGTTTGAGCTGGTAAACTGAAGGTATTATTTTCTATTTTTGCTTCTTTAAGTATTTCTAAGTGGCCATGTTTTCCTTTCCTTCTTTAGAGCAAGAACTGTTCTGTAATTCCCTTTTCTCTAACCTCTAGGACCTTAAAGTATTTCTTGAAAAAGTAAGAGAAAGTATAATTTTTAAAATATGTTTTTCTTGTCCCCATGCCCCTTTTAGCATATTATGACAGTCACAATATTACAAAGTTGTATATAAAATTAGTGGAATGTAAACTTGAATGGAAGTGAGTGATTTCTTCCCTTTCCCTTTATTTTTGCCAGGTCCTGTTTCTTTCATCACTGAACTTTCTAGACTATAATGATTTCTCAGTGATTTGTAATATATGCCCCCAAGTTTATCCTTTAGATCTGAAAGCAGTGTTAGAGAATGATCTCCAAATTAGATATATTTGGAATGTTCAGCAGACTTTTTTGGTCTTGGGAGAGTGGCATGTTATATTTTAGGAAGTCTCAGTCTTCACATCAGCACGGGGAAGGAGGATTTGCTGTTGATAATTAAAAAGGATAAGACTGTCTAGTTTGTTTCCTATTTCTGATTATGGTACATGCTTCATAGTCCAGTCAGTAATGTATCTATTGGCATGTGCTGTTATACAAGTAACAACCAGAATCCATAGTATTCTAAAGTTGCAAAAGCTCTTCTAGAGGGACATGGTGTTTCAGGAATGTTTAATAAATAAGGGAGGATCTTGAGAAATTTTTAGCATATATTTTCATTGGTATGCATAGTTTCTAATTATAATAGATCAGGAACCGGTAAAACATTAGTTTTTCTGAGAAAATGCAATTTGATTTTGTTTGCTTTCATTATTTTAGATAGAATTTGATAGAATTGAGAGTTCTAATGAACCAGGGTGAGAACTTTATTCTCAGGAGGTATGATGTTAACATATTCCTCATAGCTTCTGGTTTATGTTTGGACCAGAAATGAAGATGGAGATTTCAGAGAGCTAATTTACCAAATTTCTGATGAGAATTGATTGAGTCTCATATAGACTAAATCTTTTGGGTTCAAATGCCAAAGTTTTCTTTTGAGTTGGGCTGGGTCTTCTTGCTGCGTGTGAGCTTTCTCTAGTTGCAGTGCTTCTCTTGTTGTGGAGCACAGGCCCTAGTGCACGCAGGCTCAGTAGTTGTTGCTCGCAGTCTCTGGAGTGTGGGACCAGTACTTGGGCCTCACGGGCTTAGTTGCTCCTCAGGATGTGGAATCTCCCTGGGTCAGGGATCGACTCTGCATCCCTAGCATTGGCAGGCAGATTCTTAGCCTCTTTACCACCAGGGAAGTCCTACAGTTTGTTTTTTTTTTTACTGGAAATGCTGATATTATTCACAAAACTTACAGAGTATGGTCTTAGATTACTGAAGAACTTCCCCAAACATTTTGTAGTCACTGGTGCAGTTAGGTGTTCAGTATTCTTAATTACTCTAAAACAATTTATCATGTCAAGATTTTTTTTTCATGTGAAAGCATTTTTATTTAAATTTTTGAGGCATAATTTACAAACCACAAAATTATGGAATTTAAAGGTTCAATTTGAAAAGTTTTTTAGTTTTATACAATAAGTCATCACTCAAATGTGAGTCCCCTCAGGTCCTTCCCAGTCTTTTCCCTCTCAGGCAACTTAGATTTTTTTTTTTTTTCCCAAGCACCTTTGCTTAGTTTTCTCTTTGGCCTTTTCCTAATCATTGGGAAAAAAATATCTACCTGCTGTAGTAATCTGAATTCAGGACAACCTTGACAGTTCAGCCTGACAAATGGATGATCAAAAATCTGCTTTGCTTGTTTAAAATTCTAACAACAACAACAAAAAAAGATAAACCTCTTTTGTGATGAAAATGATGAATGAAAGAAAGCTTTTTATTCCTGAGTGTGTCAGAAACAGTTTTGGAGCTAGACATAAGAAATGGTCCCTTAAGAAACTTAACTCTTAAAGGAAGCTTGCAGCCTTCTTGCAAATGTTTTTTTTATCTGACCATGACTTAGGTAGAATTCTTGAAGCCATTGGCTATTTTAAGAATCAGTCCCCTTTTTTTTTTAAAGCACTGAAGCAATATAGTTTCTTATCACTTAAATACTATGTGTATTCTGTGTGTATTCTGTTACTTTTTATTTTTTTCTCAATTATTGAGATACAATTACTTTTCAAATACTGTTTTTTTTTCCCTTTTTTCCTCAATTATTGAGATACAATTGACAGAAGTATTATTTTAAGTACTGCTACCATTTCCCTTGAGCTGATTGGTTGATATTATAAATGAGCTTAAAGGAGAGACTTGAGCTGGAGTTTCCAATTTAATGGAACCATATAGTGCTTGTAGTGTGAATATAGTCCTTCGGAGTCTGCAAGGCTGTATGAGGTAATCCTGAAATAAAGTGTCATCTATTTGAAACATTTAAAAATGCTAATCGAGACCTTACTTTGCAAGATACTCAATTCTATAAACTGTCAAACTAATAAGAAACTTGAATAATACAGATTTTTATGAGAAGCTTCAGAATTATAACAAAGGAAAAAAATCACAAATGAAGTAAAGATCAATTTGCTATATAAATATCAGTATGTTACCCTTTCTTGGCCTAATGGCAGTGACCTAAGATAAAACATTGATGATAATGGTGTAATCAAGTTGATAGGGTTGTTTGTTTGTTTGTTTTTTAAATTTGAATTATCTAGATAATCTCAAAGGGAAAGGAGAAGTTGTAGATGTGGTCTGTAAGTTTTTCTTAACCTTTGATATTGTAACCTGGAGTATTTTCATCATTTTGCATGAGAAGATTGAATGTGGTAAGCAGTATTTGATAAAGTATTATTTAGAAATTTTAATGAAACTACTTAGCAGTGTCAAAGGATACAATTAGATTGATGTTATTAGTGTAGTTTCTTAGAGTTTGGTGAAACAAGTAATAAATGGTACAGGTAATTTAAGAATAATGCAGTCATGGACTAGTGAAGGATAAACATCTCTACATCCTGGTTGTGCAAGAATCAAACTCAATCCATTTTGCCCATTCTTTAAGAAAATTGTAATGCAATTTCTCATTTCGTCTTTATGCTATAGTTAGTTATACATACCTCCCTTTGCCTTTATGTTTATAAAGTTCAGGGTGATGTTATCTCCTCAAATGAAAAATTGGGTGATCTCATGCCAAATACTGTTTTGAAAGGATTTTTAAAAGTAGTAAGTGACAGTGTTTGAAAGCTTGCTATGTGCCAGGTGCCTTTTTAAATATTCCAGCACACTCACTTTAAGTCTTAATTTTGAGATGGCAGGCATTATTTTGTTGAATAAAAACATCTTGCTTGTTACTTTTTGCCTGTTTTCATTTTTTGATCTTGTTATAAAATAAACTAAGCAATTTAGAATTTTTTAAAGGTAGTAAAAATTTCTGATTTAGTTTGACTAAAAATGTGATATTGTGTATCTGTATTGTCAAAGCTGTGTTGTTGCACTTGAACCTAATATTGCCACCGTAATATGTTGTGATATTACAGGTGGAACACCCCCCCCCCCCCACCAAGTGGAACCCTCTTAATTGAGTTTACTAGCTTGGGAAACTTGGAATGCATGTTGCAAATATGTACCTTTGATGTTGTTATGTTCAGTTTATGAAAATTGAATATTGGGAATAATGAGTTAATTCTTCATAGGATTTGTTTCCCCCATAGCATTTGTCTGATTACAGTAAATTTGAATGTATAAAATCTCACTGGTCTGTGTGGGTTTGCTTTGTTTCTTATAATGTTTATTCCTTTTAAAACCCAAGAATTGCTGAAGTGATCTTTTTGGTCTATGAGTCAGTCTCAGCTAAATGATTCAGTCTTCTCCCCTGCTCCTTTCTCCCCTTATACTTGATCTATCAGGTAGAACATATTTTATTTAATTTTTTTCCAGGTTGAATTGACCAAAGCAATGGTTATGGAGAAGCCTAGTCCCCTGCTGGTCGGGCGGGAATTTGTGAGACAGTATTACACACTGTTGAACCAGGCCCCAGACATGCTACACAGGTAAAATTTTTTTCCCCTGAGTATCACCTAATGCTGTGTTTTAGTATGTGAGTATTTAAGATGCTCTTATTGCCTCAAGAGGGAGGAGACATATGTATACCTATGGCTGATTCATATTGTTACATCGCAGAAACCAGCACAATATTGTAGTTAACCTTCAGTTGAAAATAAAAAAAAAAGATTCTCTGATTGATTATGTGCTGTCTAGGGTTGTTGCATAAAAATGCTTTGTAACTACCAAAAAGTGATGGGTATTCAAATTATACCCATGATTTGGTATTCACCAAAAAGTGATGGGTATTCAAATTATATAATAGTAGAATATGTAAATATTTGAAAACTGGACAAAGTTTCCTATACATTATCAGAAAAATGGTGCTTGAAATATAAATGTATATTTGTACTTTTGATTTTTCTCTTTTTGTGCTTATTTTTCTCTTTTGGTGAACCGTGAATTATTTAGTTATGAATGTATTGAAGATACAAGACTGTTCCCTGTTCTGACATATTTCTGTGTTAATATGCTTTAAAAAAATAAGGATGTATGTTTTTTGTGGAAATGATTTGTTTGTTGTAAATTAAAACGTATGAAATAAACATGGGAGTCTTTAGAAAAACAATGCTAATTTTCCTGTGTAGATGCAAATATTTTTATTATGCTGTGTTTTAGCTTGATAATATGTTATCTTACAAGGATAGTACATGTATCATATTAATTTTAATATCCATGAAATTTTTATTTTCTAAAAAATTGTTATGTTACTCCACTAATGATGAATATATAAGTTGTTTCCAATATTTCCTCCTATAAACAATGCCGCATTATAGAAAACTCTTATTTATGTGGAATTATTAGAATACCTTTTAGAAATTTTAAAATGTATGTGTATTTGTTGGAATGGAACTATTTTTTCTTCTATACCTTTCTTGATCTTTAAAAAAAAAAAGAAGCTCTTAGTGTAAGGCCTTGTGGAATAATTAACTTCATTTCACAGGTAAAGACACCAAGGGCTTAAAAATTTACTGGTGTTCACAGGACTATTGAGTGATAGAATAAGTCTTTAAACCATAAATATCCCCCTTTTTGTTATTTTTTGGTCAATTGTATTCTTTCCTTTTAGTAGTTAGATACATTTAGAATTTAAAATGGAGTAGGAGTTGAAACAAACTAACCAAATATATTTCTTGTCACTGTTGTTACTTATTGATTCTAACACATGTATTTTTTCACATTTAATCTCTGAGGTACATTTTAGATACAATGAAAAGTGGATTTGCCAGCAGTGAACTAAGTGGCTGGCTGATGTGGAGCCTTTTAGTAACTTTAAAAGTTGAAAGGTAGTTTGGGTATCCCTATGGACAGGGAGGCCTGACGTGCTGTGATTCATGGGGTCGCAAAGAGTCGGACAGGACTGAGCAACTGAACTGAAGGGCCCAGATCTGTCCTTTTTTGGGTAGCAGGGGGGAGACAATCAGGATAGAGAAAAATATGGGCTCGTTTATGAAAGATTGTTTGTCTGGAGTACAGGTGCCAAGAAATCCTAATAGTTATTATCCCCGAGTTAGGGCATTGCGTGTGTGTGTGTGTGTGTTGGCAGGGTAGGGCAGAAGTTGTTGGCACTTTCCTAATTCAGTATTGTTGTAATGAAAACAAAACAGTTAAAGAGATAGGTGAATTAAAGTTATGGAGAATTAATTAAGTCTGAAGCTCCTAATGCATCAACAAAAATGGAACTCCTTAAACCCTTCTGCCTGAGTTACTGGGTTTTAATGGGAATTCATCACATGCATTCTCAGATAGGAGAAAAGGACGCTCCAAGACTGGAGAGAATAGCTGTTTAGTTTTGTCCAGCTCTTGCGACCCCTTGGATTGTAGCCCACCAGGCTCCTCTGTCCATGGAATTCTCCAGCCAAGAATGCTAGAGTGGGTTGTCATTTCCTTCTCCAGGGGACCTTCCCCACCGAGGGATGGAACCTGAGTCTCCTGCATTGGCAGGTGGATTCTTTACCGCTGAGCCACCAGGGCAGTCCATGGAAGTCCTCTCTTCTCCATGAGTGAAAACAGGAACTTGTGTGTTAGGTGGCCTTCCTGAGGTGCACTACAAGATCCCTTCCAACACGACCATCCTTTCCTGAGACCTGGAACTTTTGACTTGTAAAATTCCTTGATCAAATTCATGCCCATTAAGCAAACGTTATGAATGTAGGGGGTGGATGCGTACAAAGATGAGAAAGAAAACATGTTCATGCCTCCAAGAATGTACTAGAGAAGCAGATGGGTTCAAACATGAACAATAAATACCTGGTCTTAGGGTGCTTGAAGATGACAAGTATCTTTCTGTTTTACAGGTTTTATGGAAAGAACTCTTCTTATGTCCATGGGGGATTGGATTCAAATGGAAAGCCAGCAGATGCCGTCTATGGACAGAAAGTGAGCATAAGCATGACAAGCTTTATGTAGGATGTTGATCAGCTAGGAAATAACCCATAGAATTGAGGTGGATACGTGCTTAATGTTTGTTGATATTTGAAAATCAAAATTGTCAACTGCTGTTTAGAAATTTAGATATTCAGTAACTACTTGATTTATCAGTCATTGAAAATTTCTTTGTTCATTTGGTGTGATATACTCTGAAGTTTTTTTATGTTTGAAGATAAATGGTTTTAGCATGGAGATCACCTATTGTAAACACTTTTAGGTATGTTAATTGAAGACAATTTTAAAAAGTCAGGGTTTCACTGGAAATATAGTATGCTAAGACAAATTATAGTGAGGTCTCTGTAGTTTGTAATTCAGATGTACGCAGATAAATGCTCTTTGTTGTGTTAGAAAGGTTTTTGTTATTCTTGGAGATTCTGCCTTATCTCTTGCCTTGATTCCTTAGGAAATCCATAGGAAAGTGATGTCACAAAACTTCACCAATTGCCACACTAAGATCCGCCATGTCGATGCTCATGCTACTCTGAATGACGGTGTGGTGGTCCAGGTGATGGGCTTGCTCTCTAATAACAACCAGGCTTTGAGGAGATTCATGCAGACCTTTGTCCTTGCTCCTGAGGTATGAAAAAAAGATAAAAAATTCATACATGTCATAAAAACTTTGATCTTTGATTCCTAAAGATCCCCTGGAGAAGGATGTGGCATCCTACTCCAGTATTCTTGCCTGGAGAATTCCATGGACAGAGGAGCCTGGTGGGCTACAATCCATAGGGTCGAAAAGGCAGACATGACTGAGCGACTAAGCAGCAGGGAACTAGATCCATGTGCCGCAGCTAAGACCTGGCACAGCCAAATAAATAAATGCAATATTTAAAAAGAAAATATTTGTAATACAGTTATCCATCTATAGTCCATATTTAAATTTCAGTTACTGTTCCAGTAATGCAAAGAATAGTATTTTTTTTCCTTATCCAAGATTCAGCTCATTATGACACATTTTGTTTAGCTGTTATGCCTTTTTAGGCTCCTTTAATCTGCTGTAATTCATTAATCTTTTGTTTATCAAGATGTAGACATTTTTATAGAGGACAATCAAGTTACCATGTAGAATCTGTCAGTTTAAATTGTCTGGTATTTCCTTATTAGTTTTAGGTTATACATGTCTTTCAGCATTTGATATCATTTAGTCCTATTATTTGGAGAAGGCAATGGCACCCCACTCCAGTACTCTTGCCTGGAAAATCCCATGGACGGAGGAGCCTGGTAGGCTGCAGTCCATGGGTTCGAGAAGAGTCAGACATGACTGAGCGACTTCACTTTCACTTTTCACTTTTATGCATTGGAGAAGGAAATGGCAACCCACTCCAGTGTTCTTGCCTGGAGAATCCCAGGGATGGGGTCGCACAGAGTCGGACACGACTGAGGTGACTTAGCAGTAGCAGTTAGCAGTCCTGTTATTAGTATTACTTAGTTAAGGTGATGGTCACCAGGTTGACATGTATGTAAAGTTAATGTTTTTGCTTTTCTCATCAGTTTGTAGATTATGCGTGCTTCTTTTTTATTTATTTTATTTTTGGCTGCGCTGGGTCTTTGTTGCTTTCTCTACCTGGTGGCCTCCTGGGGCTACTCTTTATTACAGTGGCTTCTCTTGTTGTGGAACACAGGCTCTTGGTGTATGAGCTTCAGTAGTTGTGGCTCACGGGCCTAGTTGCTCCAAGGCTTGTGGAATCTTCCCAGACCTGCATTGGCCCGATGGGTTCTTAGCCACTGTACCACCAGGGGATTCCTTGTGGGCTTTTTTGAGACTGTGCATGTACTTATGTTCTTCATCAAACTTTTTAGGTATTTAGTTGTAAGCATTCATTAATTCTTGCCAGAATCAACTGCTACTCTGATGGGTACAAATGGTGATCATCTAAATTTTTTTTTTGTCTATTCATTGGCATTCTCCTGTAAGTAACTTTACCTTTTCTCCTATCTATCATGGGATCTTTGTTTAATAGATTTAATAACTTTTATTGATTTCTAAAATGTCCCAGATCTGCTAAGTGTGAACCCTTTTGAGTGGGCTTGGTTTTTTTGTTTGATGGGGTCTTTTTGGGAACAGGGCACTTGACGGCACAGGAAGTTTCAGGATCACCTTGCATTTTCCCTGCTCCAGCCTCCACCCCGGTTCTGGAATCAGCTGTTTCTTCAAGGAGTCCTGGTGTTGGTTTTTTTTTTTTTTTTTTTTTTTTCCTGTTATCATGAAAGGACCACAGGTTTATGTTGATTAATTGCATTTGAAGTGTCTTCTCGCCTGGTCCAGAATGAGCAAAGTTAGGAATCCTGTCTGATCTGTGTGAGCATGTGGAAAGGGCTCATGATGACTTGCTGGCTGAAAGTTTTCTGTAGCATTACCCTTAAGATAATTTTCTGTTGAAGGACAGTGAATCTAAAATCCCTGTCGTTTTACTGTTTAAATATAAAATAACTCAGTTTGTTTGAAAAATCATGTGAAGTCAGTTTAGTCATGATTTCTTGAAAAGGCTTAGATTATCTGTAGTGTTAAAATTGTTGATTGACTTAAATATGCAAGAAATCATGGGATATTAATAAGTACCATAAATTTACTTACTATCTTTGAAGAGGAAGATTTCAATATTACCTGAGTATAATGGATTGTTTCATAAACTGTCTCATTTAATAATCAAAACTCTAGTATGAGTTAGTATCCCTCATTTTACAGGTGAAGAAACAGTCTTAGAAATTGAATGACTAGTAAATGACATAGTTAGATTTCAACTTGAGTGTGTCTTATACCTAAGGTAGGCAAACCTTTTTAGCTATACCACATTTGAGTGCTTGTGTCAGTATTCTTAGATACAGATTTAGGGGATTTTAAAATGCACAGTTGGTAATATGTATTTATTTTTCAAGAAATGATTTGAGATTTGGGTTTTGGCATCTTAAATAATTGATCAATTTTTAGATATTCATCTGGTGGTATTTTAAGCACTCAGTATATATGAGTGCTTCTTAACAAACATGTTAAGTCTTAAAATCTTGGAGATTTTAACCTATTTGAGGGTGGAGCAAGGATCTTTTCCACCTTGACTCTTAGAATTTGAGCCTGGATCATTTTGTTGTCGGGGCTGTCCTGTGCGATGGAGGATGCTTGGTGACATCCCTGCCCTCCACTCAGCGACTGTCAGTTCTGCTCCCCCGTGGGAGAACTGAAATGTCTCCAGAAGTTGCCAAATGTCTCTTGGGATGGGCAATATCGCCATTAGTTGAGAACTAATGGCCAGGGTAATTTGGTGTAGGGTCATTTGGAGTTTTAAACGTCTGCTGATAAATGAAACTTTTTGTTGGCATTACAGGGCTCCGTTGCAAATAAGTTCTATGTTCACAATGATATCTTCAGATACCAAGATGAAGTCTTTGGTGGCTTTATCACTGAACCTCAGGAGGGTAAGTTATTTGTCTAAATTGTTTTTTGGATGGCATCAGTTTGACTTGAAGAGAGTGTAAGTTTCTTGAATGGTTTAGTAATTCTCTGTATTTTTCATTAGCAACTTTTAATTGTTAAGACATTAGAAATCTTGGTGATTTTAACCTATTTGAGGCCAACCGCTTAAGTCTACACCACTGGTACTGATGGGACACATCGAACTCCTAAGTTAGTAGACAAGTTATGGCAGCAGTAGTAGCATCTTGGTCACAGTTTGCGTAGGACTCTGCAGAAGTTTAGATGGTACCTCCACTGCAGTGGGGTGTGTTACTAGAGTGGAACCCTAATTTAGTAATGGAAACCTTACAATGGTCAGCAGATACACTTGCCCATTGCTCTGGAGAGAGACTGTATTTTAGTGTTTTCTGTATGACTGAGAATTCTAAGTACTTTGTATTTATTTAAGGCTGTAATACAACAACCTTACAGATAAGTACGTTATGTACTGTTGTTCCCATTTAATAAACTAAGGCACAGGAGTCACTTGCCTGATGTCATATAGCTAGTTAGGTGGTGGAACCATTTGTTGGATTACCTCAGATTCCATACTTGTAATCCAGACATTAAAATAGCCTTAATTCTGTCCTTAAATCCTGTATCATGATTTTATCCAGTTGCCCTATTTTATCTTTTTATGTGTAGGTACTTATATCATTGCCTTTTTTTGTCATGATGAACATTGTGAAAGTGAATATATTTGTGAATTAAGTGAACACAAAGATGTTAAATTTCGGGAGGAGGGACTGGGATGGGGAATACATGTAAATCCATGGCTAATTCATATCAATGTATAACAAAAACTACTGTGATGATGTAAAGTAATTAGCCTCCAACTAATAAAAATTAAAAATAAAATAAAATAAAATTAAATAAGATACAGGACATATTGTACAAAAAAAAAAAAAAAAAAAGATGTTAAATTTCTTTTCTCATTTAGAATCTGAAGAAGAAGTAGAGGAACCTGAAGAAAGACAGCAGACACCTGAGGTGGTACCTGATGATTCTGGAACTTTTTATGATCAAACTGTCAGGTAAGGAAAACTTTGTTCATCTGTCCAGAGCTGCATGAAAACAAGTTGTGTAGGCCTGTTTGCTGGAGGGCAGCCATAATGCTCAGAATTATCTCAGTGATAATTTCCCAGAAGAAAGGTTTTGCTTTTGGTGTCTAACATAAATATATAAAGCATGTTTAATATAGATTGCACTCTGATACCTACTTAAATAGTATCCATAAGTCGCTTTTGGTTCAGTTTTTTTCTTCACCATAAGTGGAAATAGATTTGGGATTTATCAAGTGTTAATACATAAAGGCATAGCATTAAGTGCTTTGAGAGAACTAGAAGGTGTGATAGGACTGACTTTACTCACCTGGGTTGCTGGTTGAAAATGAAGATTCGTTATCCTACCACAAGCCTACCAAATTAGAAGTTCAGGGGGAAAGCATATGCAGTTTTAAAAGACTGTTCCTATGACTTATGTGAAAGTTTAAAAACTACTTTGAATTACAAATTTTTTTTTTCCCCTCCAAAATTCCTTATGTGTTTTTAGCGTGAGAAAATGTTTTGGTTGTAAAAACCACGTGACATTTTAACCATTTTCAAGTGTACTTTATAGTAGTGTGAAGTATATGCACACAGCTGTGCAACAGATATCTAGACCTTTTTATCTTACAAAACTGAAACCATACCTATTAAACAGCTCCCTCTTCCCTCTGCCCACCTCGTATTAGAGTTTTGTGGTATGTTATAGGTAAATTGTGATAATTTGAGATTTTGAGAAACAATGGTCTAGTTCCTTTTGATATGCTTGATGCATCTACTTAATCGGAATCTAGCAAATCTGATTTGCTCATCAGGGGCTTTTCTGAAAAGTTCTCATGTTTTAATACTCAAATACATAATTTGTAGATATTTGTGGGGAGGAGGGAGCTATTTTTAGTTTCAGGTCTCTATAGGAATTTCTTGCTAAATCAATGGAAGCAGAATGATGTTTCTCAAATTTTACTGTGAAAGCAATGACTTAGAAGAACATTTAGAAGAACCTGTTGCTGAACCAGAGCCTGAACCGGAACCAGAACCAGAGCAGGAACCTGTATCTGAAGTCCCGGAGGAAAAGTCTGAGCCAGTATTGGAAGAAACTGCTCCTGAGGATGTTCAGAAGAGTTCTTCTCCAGCACCAGCAGACATAGCCCAGACAGTGCAGGAGGACTTGAGAGTATGCAGCATGTCTTCAGTTTTATTCTGCTTCTTTCTGTTGTAAAAAGTTTCTTTTCCTTTTTTGTTGCTAGGCTGACTTTTGTAGGTGCATTTTTGTGTTCATTTGGGGAATTTCTTCCATATTGAGCCATACCTCAGATAGGTGCATATGCTTTGTAAAGTCAAAAGTAGTTTTTTCCCCTCCTCTAAGGAAATTTGAATACTTTCAGACAAGAAGTTTTGGATGCTCTTTTGTTGCCATATCAACAAACCCTCTTTTTAATATTACATTCAAATTGCATGTTACTATGTGCTTATTGCACAAAAAAATGATAGTGAATCTTCAAAAAATAACATGGCACAGCAGACTTTTCCTGCCCTTTTCTGTGAAATCTAATTGAGGACAACTTTATAGTAGAAGTAGAAACAAATTGTAATATGTTCTAATTAAAATAACTGATTTCAAAAGTTTGAAGCTTTTCAGTTACCTCTCATGAGTCACACCAGGATGTTACTGGCTGAATTCACAGAACCTTTATAGCTGATGCTTTGTGAAGGAGTATGTTTTAGTGCTGTATTTATGCAGCCAGGGTTCTTAAATTGTTATTTGTCTAAGAGTTATTTCAAGTGTCTTGAAATTGTTCTGAGCATTATTCTATGTATGGGAACTGTTGTTAGTAACCTCCCTGGTTTGTAGTTTGCTGGTCTGTATAAAATAGTTGTGTGGCAGCTTATAGGTGAGTAGTAAAGAGAAATGGTGACATGACTGTAGCTTGCAGGTGGAAAATTAGGTTTACTGGAGTGAGAGTAGATGACAAGTTAAGTGATTTAACTGTAGTAGTCCCGGAGAGAGGTAATGACATCTTGGATTAGGGTCATGGCAGTGAAGATGAAGTGATAAGAGGTAAATAAGATCTGGTGATTTTGGTACTGATTGAAATAATTCAAGAAAATTCTAAAGGTGGTATAATTGGATCATAGAGTGAGAAAATCAAAAGAGGAAGAGCTGGCTTTGGAGGGAGAATTTTCTTGGATTCACAAACTTAAATTGAGTGGAAGTAGCTGCTCATATTTTGCTGATGCTTTAAGTCCTAAGGAATTTTAGTACTAAATTTTAAGTGATGGGGCAAAGGAATCTCAAGTTACTTATAAACTGTCTTGCCTCTTGAGAATGTGATGCACATATAATGTACAAGAAATCAAAAGCCTAGAACTTCTATATTGTTTTGCTAAGTATTATAACAACTCTTGGTGTTGTTCCCTTAGACCTTTTCTTGGGCATCTGTGACCAGTAAGAACCTTCCACCCAGTGGAGCTGTTCCAGTTACTGGGATACCCCCACATGTTGTTAAAGTACCAGCTTCACAGGTGAGTTTATAATTAAATTTGCATATTAGCAAATTTACTTAAATTTTCATGTAATGTGAATTTACAGAGGTTTAACAGATAAGACAGGGTTCCTTGGTGGCGCAGTGATAAAGAATCCGCCTGCCAGTGCAGGAGACACAGGTTTGATCCCTGGGTCGGGAAGATACCCTGGAGAAGGGAATGGCCATCCACTCCAGTGTTCTTGCCTGGAGAATTCCATGGACAGAGGAGCCTGGCAGGCTACAGTCCATAGGGTCTTGAAAGAGTCGGACACGACTTGGCAACTAAAGAACAGCAACAAATAAGGCAGAGGAGAAAGGGTACAAGGTGATTTTTAATGTGTTTTTATTTTTGTTTGGGGTTTTTGGTGGGGGTCAGTGAGAGAACTCAATTGTCATTTTCTAGTTTTAAACCTTATTGTTAGTTAGAACATTTAAAAAGGAAAAAAAACGTAAGCTTGCTTTGTTTTTACGCCAAAGTTGATGCATACATTTTTCAGCCTCGCCCGGAGTCTAAGCCTGAATCTCAGATTCCACTTCAGAGGCCTCAGAGGGATCAGAGGGTGCGAGAACAGCGAATAAATGTTCCTCCCCAGAGGGGACCCAGACCAGGTGAGAGCTCAGAAGGGCTTCTCTACGCTGGGCATGTTGAAGATGAGAGCTTGTTTTGGGAGGGCAGTTGATATTTGTGGGTACTTAGATTTAAAAATACATTGCAGAGTGAATTGAATTATCTGTTTAGGGGTAGAGAGAAAACTGCTGAATGGAACAGTTACTGCAAGGTGTCTTCTTTCTCATTCCTTGCTGTGTTTGTTTCCTCTTCAGTCCGTGAGGCTGGTGAGCAAGGCGATGTGGAACCCCGAAGAATTGTGAGACACCCTGACAGTCACCAGCTCTTCATTGGCAACCTGCCTCATGAGGTGGACAAGTCAGAGCTTAAAGACTTTTTTCAAAGTAGGTTATTAAGTTGTTTTTTTTTTTAATCTTTTTTTAAGATTTATTTTTAATTGGAAGATAATTGCTTTACATTGTTGGCATTGGTTTCTGCCATACAGCAATGTGAATCACCCCTAGTATACATATGTATCCTCCCTCTTGAACCTCCCTCCCACTCCCTGTTATTGAGTTTTAAACACTAGATTCATCTGCTGTCCAATAGAAATAGAAATGAGCCACATATGTAATTTTAAGTTTTCTGGTAACACTTTATTTTTTATTTTTAAGATATATTTATTTGACTGCGCTGGGTCTTTGTTGCTGCACTTGGGCTTTGTCTAGTCGTGGTGCACGAGCTTCTTTGCAGTGGCTTATCGTAGAGCACCAGCTCTAGGGTGCTCGGGCTTCAGTAGTTGTGGCACGCAGGCTTAGCTGCTCTGCGGCATGTGGGATCTTCCTGGACCAGGGATCAAACCCATGTCCCCTGCACTGACAGGCAGATTCTTAACCACTAGATCACCCTGTAGTTACACTTTAAAACTGGACAATTAAATTAGTATTTCACTTAACCCAGAGTGTCTAAGACATCATTTGAATATATATATAAACATGAGATATTTTCCATGATCCTATTGGAAGTCTTTGAAATCCTATGTGTGTGTTGGCTCTAGCCACAGTTCACATTCCCTACAGCCACGTGTGCCTAGTGGCTTTTGGTGGACAATGTGCATGTAATATTTTTAAAAAGTGTTCTAACTTATTTGAGAATCTGTGTTTCACTTGCAGATTATGGGAATGTGGTAGAACTTCGTATTAACAGTGGTGGGAAATTACCCAATTTTGGGTTTGTTGTGTTTGATGATTCTGAGCCTGTTCAGAAGGTGCTTAGCAACAGGGTAAGCAATTTTTATCTTGGTTTTTTTTTTTTTATCTTAATGTATTCATCCATCCTTAAAACTGTCTTACATGTAAAGTGCAATTTATTCCAACCTGTCTGGGTAATATTTTTCATCATGTTTAACCATTGTTAAAAGAACTGCCTGGGAGCTTAGCAAAACAAAACTATCATATAAATAGTTTTTGCCTAAGTTGTGTGATAGAGAGTGAAATAATTGTGGTTACCAGTACATTGAGATTTATGCAGTTCCTTTATTTGTTGTAAGAGATGAATGAAGCACTATGTTACTTTTTAGCTAAGAACTTAGAATCAGTTTGTTACCAGCTATACTTGCAGTTTTCCTGTATAACTGTTTGGGGTATAAGGAGCCTCTCCTTTTGTTCTTTAACTTATCTGGGTTTGGAGTCAGTCTACCTTCTCCAATAGTAGAGAAATTTGTAGAATTGGAGTCTTGTCTCTGTGTCCTTATAGAGTCCTTTCCTTCCTCCACAACTGTCGTTGTAGAGAAGAACAAAGATATAAATACTGTTAATTTACTGAGATGGATGTGGGAATTTTAAGACCTCACTTTTTTTCAATTGAGGTGAAATTCACATAACAAAATTAAACATTTTAAAGGGTACAATCCAGTGACATTTAACACACATTGTTGTGCAACCATTACCTGTCTAGTTGCACAGTTTCATCAAGAGTAAATCCCTTACCCATTAAGCAGTCTCTCCCCATATCCTCTCTCCCCAACCCCTGGCAACCACTAGTCTATTTTGAGTCTCTGCCAGTTAAAGCTTACACATTTTATTAACCATGTTAGTTAGAAATGGTGCAGATCATTATTTCCCAGTGGTTTTCCAGAATGTCTGATGTTCTCCAGAATGTTAGTGGATATACTACAAAGTTTAATGTTGTGGTTATAAGTTAGCCTTCATCTGGAAATGTGCATTGTCTATCAAACTCTTTGACCACTATTTTTGTGAAGCATCTCCTGCAAAACACTGAGAAATGTGGAGAAAATAATGGCTTATCTCACCCAGGACACAGGAGTACTGAACCCAGAAATGTCCTGTAGGCTTTGTTGTAAATTCACCATTAAGCATGTTCAGTGGTCACACTTTTTGGTCCAGCCTTGAATTTATATTTTCTTCAGTGGTGTGATAATCCCAGTGGGGCCAAACAAGGTCAGACCTGTTTGCTTCCTAGTTAATTATCCAAGAGGAAGACTTTGGTGTTTCATTGACGGCATGTGGGTGAGTCATGGTATCTTTAGGCATAAGAATTGTTGAGGTAAAGTTCCTCAGAAAGGGGTGTATGTCTGCTACCTTTTTTTCATTCAGATTGCTTCTGTCCTTTTGATACCTCCTTAGAGATGTCTTCTATAACTACCTTTTAAAATATCTGCAGTCATAACCTCTTATCTTTCAGGCTTAAAATACTTCTGTTTTTCTCATTGTATGTAGAACATTGCCAGGAATAGCACTTCATATTAAAGTGTATGATTTATATAGTGTATATATAAAGTATGTATATAAAATATTTGTAATATTGGATGTGTTAAGATATTTATATTTGTACAAATATATGTTTAATCAGAATATAAAATTTAAATTAGAATCAGAGCCCAAAAGAGGCTTCCCTGCCCAACCCCTGTGCAGGTTTCCTCACATGCACTTTCAGATCATGTCTGTGTACTTTGGGAGCTACTTCAAATGTAGCTTGCTTTAGGTGGCTCAGACAGTAAAGAAACTAACTGCCTGCAATGTGGAAGATCCAGGTTCGATCCCTGGGTCTGGAAGATCCCCTGGAGAAGGGAATAGCAACTCACTCCAGTGTTCTTGCCTGGAGAATTTCATGGACAGAGGAGCCTGGTGGGCTACAGTCTGTGGGCTTGCAAAGAGTTGGACATAACTGAGCAAGAAATGAGTTGGACATGACTGAGCAGCTAACACTTAGCTCACCTCACTGTCTGGGTTAAAGTTTACCTTATTCCCTCAGCAGCTTTTGTGTACAGAAGTAGCTTGTAGAATATGCCTGGTGTCTGTCCCTGTTGCGTAGTTGAGTGCTCATACCTTCCTGTCAGGATGCCTGGGTTTACATGCCCTTCTGTCACTCACTAGACTTGTGACCTGTGCAGTATGCGTCCTTCAACCTCCCAGTACCAGTTTGTTGGTCTATATAGAATAGTTGTGATAATAACCCTTAAAGGGTTGTTGTGAAGATTAAAAGAGATAGTAAAAGTGAAGAACACTTTTGCATAGTAAGTACTGTTAGGTGTTTATTTTAAAAAAATACTTCTGTTAGAAAACCAGAGTGCCAGCAAGGAACATAAGTTAAGTTCATTGAAATCTTGAGTTACGCTTTGTTTACTGTAGTTCTTTTGGCAAAAAAGAAGACCCTATACTTTTTCCCCCTGCGCTAAGGTCTGGTATTGTTATTTTAGTATTTTCCCAAATTCTGTTAAGGCAAATCGCATTTTCTTAAGATTATATTGAAATGAAATTCATGTTTTTGAGATGTATGTGTGCTTTGCATAAACATGTGCAGCAAAAAAAGCAACGTGTGCAGCAAAGTCTTTCCACATTACATGATGATGGGATTTTGCTGTAAGTCTCCCAATCCCTGAGAAGGTGGCAATTTTTATTTATATTCCACTTACATAATTCTATGAGAAGGTAAGGTTTGCTTTAATAAGAGTTACTTGTACTGCTGTGCACAGGTGGACTTTTTAACTTTTGAACTAACTTGAATACCTAATCACTTTTTCATGTATCTGTTAATGGAAAAATTATATGTTCTGAGTTTGAGACAAAAAGTGAACTGTGAGAAGGTAGCTGATTTGTAAGCTGCTGGTTCTTTGTTTTGTTTTTCTTTTTTTAGCTTTCTTTTATCTTTGAGAGCTAGCTCATAAGCTCTTTTGCTACTCTTTTGAGAGTAGTTCATAAGCCCTCTATAAATCTGTTCACCTTGATTCTTACAGCCCATCATGTTCAGAGGAGAGGTCCGTCTGAATGTGGAAGAAAAGAAGACTCGAGCCGCCCGTGAAGGGGACCGCCGAGATAACCGCCTGCGGGGACCTGGAGGTCCTCGAGGTGGGCTGGGTGGTGGTATGAGAGGCCCACCCCGTGGAGGCATGGTGCAGAAACCAGGATTTGGAGTGGGCAGGAGCATTGCTCCAAGGCAGTGAATTGCTCTTCACCAGTCTTCAGGCAGCAGTACAAACTAGCTCCCACAGAATGATGAATTTCTTCAACCAACCTTGGTATCTTGGAATATGATCCTAGTCTATTATAAACTGCTTAAGTTTGTACAATTTTACTTTTTGTGTTAATGGTGTGTGCTCCTTCTCTCCCCTGCCTCCCACCTTTTAGTCCTTCACTTCCAATTTTGTGGAATGATATTTTAGGAAAAATGGATTTTTAAAGAAGAAAAAAAAAAAAGACTGACTGAATTTCTTTGCTTTATTTGCATATACAGACTGGATTTTTTTTTTTAACAGTTTCCCCAAAGGAATGTGTCTTGCTTCTTACTGACATTTGGTATGTTTCATTCATTGGACTATTTCTTACTTACTTTCTATGTGTTTCAAAAGCCTGTGAGAATTACAGGATTTGATAAACATTTTGAAGACCAGAGAAATCCAAATTGTTTTCTTCTTTGCGAGTCATGACTATCTTCTGGTGTGGAGAAATTGCATTGGAAAAATTGACAACTTTGATTCTCGTTGATGTGGTTAAAAACTGAATAAAAGGTGTTAGTAGAGTTTTCTTTTAAAATATGATCACAAAACAGTTTCAAAATCTACTGTTTTTGACATTGGAATTTAAATTGTGAGGTAGGTTTAAATGTCTAGAATGCAACTGATAAGCTTTTCTTGAACTGTTAGATTTTTTTTGAAGTAGAGTTTTTTTCATGTTTAATTTGTATTTGTAAAAAAAGAAAAAAGAACAAAAAAAATTTCCAAATCTAAGTAACACAAAACCAGAGCAAAACTGTTGTGCCTTCTATTTATCTTTGATTCCAGTCTTGGCAATTGTTTCAAGAAAATAATAAAAAGAAAGACCCCTAGATTTGTTCTGTCAGGTTCAGAGTATGTTGGGAATTATGACTTCCTTTTTTACCCTGTATGTCTTGTGTTCATTTGTTATGCCTTATCCTGAAATTGAGTCTCAAACTGGAATGCCTTTGAGTACAGATGCTTCTGTAGAGTCCTTTGACCTGAATAGTTCAGCATTTGTATTAAGTTTTATTTCAGTGTCTATTCAGAATCCTAATCATAACCCATAAGAAAGAATGTGACATTAATATTGGCCTTTGATGGTGTGCTTGAGTGCGTGCTAGTTTTTTTTTTTTTTCCTTCTTTTAATCATAGCCATATGGTAAATTTTCTGTTTTGTTATGGTTCCCTTTTACTGGTGGGCATGCAGTGGGTATTCTTGGAAATGGCCAATTTTTATTAAAACATTTCTGGAAGATCTGGCGATATAGACTAATACTCGTTTTGCATAGTATGTGTTGAGTGCTGTGTGTGAGATGGGTGAAGGTTTTGTTTACACATTTGTGTAGCAAGCCTTTGTGTGATAACTTGTCACTACCAATTGAAGGGCAATGAGGTTGTCAACTTTAACTTATTTTTTTAACAGTGTTCATTTTTAAGACTATTGTTTGAGGCTAGTATATTAGTAGGAATAAGAATGTTTTGCTGTTACTGGGAAACTAGGTTTACTGAAGGGTGTAATCTTAAATTAAGTTTTTGATGTTGTTGGTCCTTAGTACCTCAAATATTTGAAAATTGGCAACATCTCCTTCATAAACATACATAACAACATAAAAAATCTTACATAACTGAATCCATGGCTGGTTTTTGGGTCAGTTTAAACAACTAGTTGGTAACCACTTCATTTGGCCCAGAATTAGAAGAAATTCAGCTTGTACTTTGTAGCTTATATTAAGCTTGTAGTAGAAAGGAGAAGATTTAGCCTGAGTTATATTGAGGAAAAAAATTCAGTTGCAGTAATTATTAGGTGATAAAATATAGATAACCTAGGAATCATTTTTCATAAGTGAATACTAAACCATACATTTCTAAATGTTTTTCCTCCTCAGAATGGAGCTTTAAGGGCACTAACAAAATACAGTGTTTCTCAACTTGGGGCTATTGTTATATCCTAGAGGACATGCAGAAATTTGTGGGGTTTTTTGTGGGGGAGGCGGGTGGAAGGAGATGCATACCCTGCATCTGGTGTTTGGTGAATGGGAGCCAGTGATGCCAAAATGCTCTTGGAAAATGAAGCAGCCCCACTGAGAACACAGGGAGTCCTTACTCCTGTAATTCCTGGTGGGTGGAATGGTGGAATAGGACGACTGAAGTGAAGACTCATTCCTGTGAAATAGAGTCTCAGAAAAATAACAACTAGAAATCTCTCTCAGGAATTATAGTAACAACTACTGTAAGTAACTAATCCCAGTTTGTACCAATTTGTGTGTGTGTGTGTGTGTGTGTGTGTGTGTGTGTGTGTGTTTTAATTTGGAGAGGTAGCAATATACTATATGCTGCTTGTAATTTATTGCAGGAATTCCTGCATAATTTCACAAAAGGTTGCTTCAGTAATTTCAAGTTACCATAATTAGGATATTATGGTGTGTTGACTTGCATTGGACTTTATAAATAGGATTTAGTGCCATGGTTAACACTTGTAAGTATCCAGCTATCACTGATTACATTTATTACTGATGTAATAAACATGTTACCCTAGGTACACATCTATTCACATATTTCACAGTGAGTGAGAATAAAATATAGGTGAGGGCAAGATTTTCTGTAGGCAGCATCACCTCATCACAGTCAACATTTTTTTGTCTGTCGGGATGGCCCAACATGTAATTCTTTTCTCCTGAGCTTAAAACCCTTCACACATGAACATTTTAGCTAAGTTACATTAGTTTGGCTCAGTAGATCTCAGTCTTTTTAAGACCTGTTGAAAATAAATAGATCTTTGACTGAACAAAAATAATTTTGTTTGCTTTTATATTGAGGTTGGTTTTGTGTTTTCCTGTGTTCTCAACATTTTGAGTTATTGCTGGGAAGTAGTGGAATGGATAATGCAAGAATAATTCTTTGGTTTTGGATCAGTAGGTTACTACCACCATGTTAGTTGAATTGCACTTTAGTTTTAGGTTAGACAACTAAATTTTTCATAGCTATACACAGTGGATTAGGTGTGTGTGTCCCCCACACCCTGTCAAAGTAGTAGGTGAAGAAATTACATCACCAGCCTCCATGTAGTAGGAGCAGATTGGCCTCCAAAACTGATGCTTTTTTTCTAGAACCATAGTGCCTACCTGTATTTACATTTGAATACCGTTAAGGGAATACGGCATGAAATAACTACAGTGTAGAGACTTGAGTGCAAAACATTCAGGTCAAGACTAGCATTACCATTTTCTATTTCCTTGAGGGTAAAGTAGTTAAACATTAATTTTGTAGGACTTCTTTTGATTTGCAGACTGTATTTTAACAGTGCTATTGAATTACTAGATTATTTTCTCATCTGGTTTGATAATACACTTAGTACAATTTAATCTGGGTGTGGAAGACAATATTTTTATCATAGCATCATCCAGGTTAGTTTAGTTGTGTTTTATGCTTATAACTGCCATCCTCTGATACTTTTCTTCATCCCTTTATTTGAAAACCCTGGTAGAGTTAGTGATTTAGTGGAGAACGTGGCACTTTATAGATACCGTTTGTTAGAATCTATATGAAAATTTCTTTCTATGAAGTTTAAATTTGTAGACCATTGTTTCTCTTGTGGCTTATTTTAGGTAAGTGTTTGCATTTGTCAAATCTACTGATCTATAAAAATAATTTTTATATTAAAGCTTTATTTTTGTGCTACTTAGAAGAATCTCTGTAGGAGCTGTATACAAATTAGATACTTGTTGAACTTTTAGTTTAGCAATTTTGAATCTTGTAAAAGAAGCAACTTCAACATTTATTTGAATATGGAGTTCTAGCTAAGTGCCTAATGTACCACAGATTGGCAGTGGACGATTAGAGGTAGTCTTTTGCAGATCTTTTAGAAACCTTAAAGAATGTGTTAGAAACTTAGCAATATTTTATGTGGGATGGGGTTGTAGGTTAAAGTTGCTTGTCATGTTGTACTAGGTCATTAAACGAGGACTTCTGGTTTTAGAGTAGTAATACCTTTTGGAATTTGTGTTTACAGTATTATCAAGGTTCTGGGGACCATAGATGGGCTTGTCAACTTACTAGACTGAAATGTTGGCACAGGTGAGATAAAACTTTTATTTTTATTTTTAGTGGATATGTATCTAACTCTGGATGATGCTGAAATTAGATTGCTTTGCTCATGCTTTCATGAAGCAGTCTTTAATAATGGCCTGAATGAGTGAAAGTTTGATTAAAGGTGGCCTACAACCCTTAACCAGTTTCTTTTGATCATGCTTATGTATTGGCTTAGAATCAAAGTTGTTGTCTTTTGATTGCATGCCTTTCGAAGTCTCTCCTCTTCAGTTACCACTCAAACCTGGTAGCCCCCAGTGAGAAGAATATAGCATTGAAAATTAGTTCTCTTGTTACTTCCATAAACTATGTGACCTGGTCGGTTACAGAAATCTGTGCATGGTTATTACTTTGAAATGTGTCCAGTGTCACAGATTCCTAAGGGATTGTATCCATTCAGTGTGTCTGGTTTTTTTTTTTTTTAAAGTAAGTGATGCTTACCTAAAAATTCACTGTTGAAGTACTTTTAGCAAGTATTTATTTTTCAGAAACCCACTTGTAGGAAGTTTACCTGTAGTTTTGGTAGTAATTAGAGGGATGATTATATCATTTAATATGGATGTAGTTTTAACTATTGCTGTAATTAACCACTTTGGTTACTGATACTCTCCCTAAGTTTTGTTGTCACCTGTTTGAGTTTGGTTTAGATTCTTAAATGTTTTTATGAGGAGTGTATGTACAATGATTTGGCCCTTTTAAATGAAGACATAAGGAATTAGGAAAGAAGAGACTTCCTTTAAAGATTCAGTGTACAATTTAAGTAGATTATGTAGAACATACGTTGTGTTAAAGACAAATTTGTATAGGTAGCTACATTGGTTTTCAAGAAGAGTGGGATGGGGTGGAATTTAGCTGATGGAATATGAATAATTTATGGTTTCTATAAAAGAAAATCATAATTTTAAGTGAGAAACTATTTCTGTAAAGCCCCCCACCCCGTACTGATGGTTATCACAAGAAACAGGAGGAGACTCCTAGATTTCTTAGAACATCAGTGCTGGAAAGGACTAAGGTGATTTGTGTAATCCCTGCAATTTTCTAAAGGTCGATGACTCAGATGACGAGTACAGCACATTCAGGATTGCCAGTCCTGCCCGTGTTTGCTTTAGTAAGCCAAAGCTGTTAAAAGGTAGGATGTGGGGAGAAAAGGGAAGGAGCCACATTGTGTATGCTTATCCAGTTGCTCCATTAGCTTAGTTTTCATACCCACGTTTTCTGTTTTCTTCCAACTGTTTTAATGCCCTGTTCTACCAGGGCCTTTTGTCAATAAGGACATTAACTTATGTTCCCCTCAGGGATGGGTTTATTACTAGCTGTCAGAAAACTATTGGGTATCCTAATGTGTTAATAGCTGAAACTCAGCTGTAATTTTCTCCTAAATCTGTCAGCATTTTGCGTTCTGTAAACTGTGGTGCTTTTCCCCACCTTGTACTGTTCCAACTGTAGGCTCCTAAGGGGCAGCAGTTTGGTCTTCGGCATATAATATACCCTGTTCAGTGCCTGTCAGCACCATGTTTGAATCAGGGTCCTAATCTGCCTTTCCAGGGGTTTTTCCTGTTCTTCACAGAAGGATGTTTATGGTTTGCCGACAAGCTAGGTATTGCTGATTCCATGGCTTCAAGGGCCTTCACTTCCCTGAAGATACACTTGCATCTGCATTCTCCCTGCCACCCCTCCCACCGCCATCTCAAATCTCTTACCATCAAAACTTTTTAAGACCTCGTTCAAGAGCTTTTTTTTCTCCCTAAGAGAAAAGATGTCTTAAGATGTCTTAGGAGAGGTTAATTCATTACCCTGTGGGGGTTGGTCTGTCCAGAATTTGAAGTAAGGAGCAAATTTATTTTCATCTACTTTTCTTCCACCTTGTCCCTCCTGTGAGAAATTCTATCCCAATCTTCATTTTAAAATGTGTTCCTAGCATATTTAATACCTTTCTCTTAGCTTATAATTTACCCCTTCAGCCTAGACTAGAACATACCATAATCTCCTGGAGGACAAGGGCTGGAGAATTAATCCATTCCTCCTGGAGGTACATGAAAGCACCCTTAAATGATGACTCACTCAGTTGAATAATGTATTCCTGTTTTCATGCTTATGAGGGAGGCATGCCTAGGGATTGGGCATAATTCAGTGAATTCTAGGCATCACGCATTTCATATTGGAGGGGATTGGTGTGAAATTTTGAGGGGTGGGCAGAAGAGGGAGAAGTCACTGGTCATTTTGAAGTACTTCCATCCCTGGTCTCGGCAGTTACCTCTTTCTTTCTGATTGTGCCCAGTATCCCGGGCGTTTTGTGTTTACGCGCAGGAGCTGTATGTGCCAAGTTTCATTTCTTATCATAAACCTGCTCTGTTCTGTTTGTCATCACCCGTGCTGCCAGTCACAGTCACCTTAGCCACCTGCTTCCTGCCTCCTTACTCCTTACCTGCTGTCTGCAGCTAACTCCTGTCAGTTCTACCTCAACAGCCTTTCACATCCTTCCTCCTCACTTCCTTTAGTGGCCGCTCAATTCTCTTTACCTCTTCTTACTTCCAGTTTACTTTCTACACAATATTAGATTCATCTTACTGAAACCTAGCTCTGACCATGTATCCCATGTATGTGTTCTGTCTTCCCTACTAGACTGTAAGCTCCTTATGGGCAGGATCTGTGTTTCAGTCATCTTTGTATCCCATAGCACCTATCAATAAATATATCTTGAACGAACAGTATAAAGCCTTGTCTTAAGTGAAATGATGTTTTCTAGACAATACGTAGGTTTCTCTCGGGTAATTGCGAGATTTCAGAAGTTCTAATATCAAGTTGGTTAAGTAGTAACAACTATGAGTTAACCACAGGGAAAATTTCAGAAAACTTTTAATTTTTTTCCATTGGAATCAGCATGGATGTGTGTATATGGATGGTTCAATAAATATATTTTTATATATACATGTATCACAGAAAGTTTACATTCCATCTTCAAACTGCAGAAATAGATTTTTTTTTTACAAGCCAAAAAATAACTGCCATAACATTTATGACTTCATGCAAAAAACAGGGTTGAATAAGGGACAAAGGGGAATTGGTTGTTAAGAGTCCAGGGAGAAGTAAAAATATACAATAAGGAGGTGATTGCTTAACACGCTGCTTAAGGTGGTAGCCAAACAAATCCTTAACTGCAGCATTAAGGCCATACCAAGTTTATACATATATACAAAGAAATTTCCATATAAAAGACATACTATCACGTTTTCTTCCAGGAAAGGATGAGGAGTTTTCTGAGTAATCCTGACCCAGTTTTCCAGGCCCATTCATTGTTTAAGATGTCCCCAGGCTACTGACAAATGTCTTCTACTTTGGCTAGTTGTCAGTTACTGCTGTGTGGGCTTGAGACTTGCAGTCTCTTACAGGGAGCTATGAATTATTTTGAACCTCTTCCATCATGGATGATGAAGCACTTAGCAGCTTAGCTAACACTGCCCAATCCAGCATAATTTTTACATCTCCCAAAAAGTAATTACAGTCAGAATTGTAATTTGCATTTGTCTTACCTATAACAGACTACAGTCAGCGTTGGCATTGTGACCTGAAGAACTGCACAGTGCCTTTCTATTCTTTGGAGTTAAAAGAGAACTTTTTGAATAAAGTGTAATGACCAGGGTGTGAGGTTTCAGGTAACAACCCCTAGAGTCACTGAAAGTTAATAACTTTGTTTTTTGTTGGCGGTGCCATGAGGCATGCAGAAACTCAGTTCCCGACCAGGGATCAAGCCCATGCCACCTGCAATGGAAGCAGTCTTGATCACTGGACACCCCCCAGGGAAGTTCCCTTAGTAATCAACTTTTATCTCCATTGTATCACACGTTTAAGTTGGCAGTTACCTTTTCAGAAAAAAGGAAATGTAAAATTACTTGCAGAATTGTCATACATGGGATTTGCTTTTCTGCCTAAACATCAAGTCAGGCAACTTTTAAGACAAAGGGCAGATCTTTTGTGCAAATATCTACATGAGTTAAATGGGGAAAGCTTGAAGGGCAAGTCCTTTGGAGCTGACTTCCAGTGATGCAGAAGTCATTTACTTTGGCAAGGTTGAGGGGAAATCTTGAGATTGGCCCATCTCAGTGAATGAATCTTGTTGTCCTCCCCCTACTTCACCGCCCGCAAGAGAAAAGAAAGTAAGTCTAAGATAAATTATGTAAATAAGGTACAGTGACTGAGCATTTATTTGATAATGTTATCACTCATTTTGGAAGGTTGTAGATCTGTCTAACAGTGCTTTTTCATTAATGTTAACTTAGCTATGAATTGGATATCAAATAGTCCTGTTCATCCCCAGTTGTCTATGGGCCAGTTTCCAAGTAGGGCCTCAGGGCATTCACAACTTTGGTTGCAAGGTAATGTGTCTTATCCCAGCTTCCCTGGGTCAGTCAAGTTTGAGAATGAGGTCTCTGGAAATGGCTTGTCCTGGGAGAGGACCAGATAATGTGTGGTTTGGAAGTACTTAAGTATGTCTGAACACTTAGAAAGTGAGCAGTCACTGTACTTTGCAAGTGCACTTCACCTAGAATGACATTGCTAGTTATTTACATTGTTATTTCATAGTTATTTCACCTAGTTATTTACATTGCTTGCAGTGGTTTGAATCATTCTAGATAAACTGAGTTTGGACTGATCCAGACAATGAAACAGGGATAACTTTGGCAACCTTACCTCCAGGCAAAGAAGCATTAAGGGTTTTGTCTTAGACACTTTGTGGTTCATGTTGTACATGTCAAGTCTAATTACAACAGTGAAGATGTGTATTGCATTGTTTTTCAAACTTATTTTCAGGCTGCTGAAGTCAGTTGGTATGTTTGTCTTGAAAGTATAACTTGGCTATTTAACTTGCTTTGAAAAAAAATTTTTTTAAGAACGTTGTTCTTTTGTTTAATGTGTGCAAAAATCACATTGGGTAGGTATTTTATCTGTGTCGAATATACTAAGTAGCAGAGATGCACACTTTGGGATTTAATTTACTCATCTCATTTTAACTGTTATTAGTGCTGAAAATATAATGGATCAAGTATGGGAAGATTGAACCATCAAAATATGAAATAGTCTGGATTTAAAAAATGCTGAAATGCATTGTGGTAATGTCCAATTTTTTTTTTCTATCTCTTATGTAGTCTGGCTAAATGGCATGTTGAGCATGGTATACCTTTAGATGAGGTAGAAATATATTTAATGTGGGAAAAACTGAGTTTAGCAAAGTGATTATTTGATATGTAAGCACCACTTCTAAAAAAGACTTGGGACAGTCCTTCATTTACTAGGATAGGTAATACTAACCTTCTCTTTCCCAAAAATATTCTTTCTGAAGAAAGATAAATCATTCGGAAAGAAACTATTCTTTTTATATACTTCCATAGGCAATGACTTACTAAAAACCAGTTACTTTTGTCATTTTTCTTCTATTCATATTTGACTTTTTCCCCCTCCATACACTTTTTACTTTATAGTCCTGATTTCATGCTTTGAATGGAGAGATGTTCTCTGGGTTGGGAGAATTATTTTAGTTAAAGCTGAAAAAAAGGGGGGGGTTTTGCTAAACTGTACTTGTCTTCTGGGTCATCTCTGTTTAATATTTCAGATTAACAAAATGTAATAACATTAGGAGCACAGTCTCTCCTTTCCAAATTCCTGCCTTGTACAAGATTGGCTTGGCTTGGTATTTGACAAATGATAAGACTCTAAAAGTAACTTGCTCAGAATCACTGTAGAATAGTGAGCTGAATGTACCTTTATTGTCCTCTTTCTAGTGCATCCCTATCACAAACTAAATGCTTAATACTTGAATTGATGTCCTTGATGATGTGAGTTTCTAGTGGGTACTTACTATATCTGCTGCTAAGATAAAGTTGAGTTTCCTGCAAGAAAGTACAGGTAAGTTTGAATTAGGTTGGACGTATTAATATCAGCTAATGGCGAGGGGATAGAGTGAACTGATTTACAAACCATGAGGGAATACCCTTGTGGTTTTTTCTGCTTTTAAGGTAGTCCTGATGTACTCCAAATCTGTCTTTCCAAACACGCCTACCATTCATTAGACTTCAGCCAAATGGATAATCACAGTGCCTTATATTGTGCCCCTTGTTATTTACCTCTGTATTTTTACTTATGTTCCTTCTACCAGAATATTCTCCCATCTGTCAAAATCTCACATGTTTTTTAAGGTTACTACTTCTCAAATGGCCCGTCAGCCGTGAAACGTTCTATGATTTATTTTCTGCACAGTCCATGGTACCCTCCTTTTGGTCACATATTTCCTGCATTCCACACTAGTAATTACTTCAGTACTTCTATTATCCCTTCCTATGTTGTAAGAAAAGAAGCTCTGTTATATTCTGATACCCTGCTCTCATGGTAAACTGCCTTGATACAGTAGACTTAATAAATAGCTGGTAGATGAAGACAGGCAGGTGTAGGGAGGTTAAAAACAAAGCTGATAGGAAAACTGGAAAGAATATGTACACTCTAGTCCTGGCTATAACACTTTCTTTTGAAACTTGCCCCTTGAGCTTCCAGCTCAAACCTTGAAGGGCTTAACTGCTTTCTCTAGGCTGAGATATTTTGAAAAATCACCCAAAGGCAAGCACTCAACAGTTGCCTGGCGACCTGCTGAACCTGACTTGTAGTCACTAGATAGGGTCCATTCAGAGTGCCATTTTTGCTCACCAGCACCCAGATAGAGCTACACAGAAGTACGGCTCTAGCCCTCAGAGCAGTAGCCAAGATCTGCCTGGCGTTGCTGCTTATAGCTCATGTCCTGTTACGCCACAGGCCAGGCTTATGGGTGCAACTGTAGAGTCATGGATGAGGCCAAAGGGGACCTCAGAAATGTAAGAAGCCTACTCCTATGAACTGGTCTGGCTAGTTTGCACACATCAAGTTACCTAGGTGATTGTTGAGCCAGAAACATAAGGAGGCAAGTAGTAGCTTGGAGACAAGTAGTAGCTTACTAACAATTTTTGGGAGTGGTGGTGGGTTATGTTCATATAAAGAGTTGCTCCCTCTTTACCTCCGCAGCTACTTGAAGGAAGTGGTGATCTTAGGTTTAACACTTTGAAAAGGTGGCTTAAAAAAGTAAACTGCTATCTTGTTAAGACTCTGAGCCCAGATAGCCATCCTCCAAGAGACCTGATTTCTCTGCCTCATCTGTTACCATATCTTTTGGCTTAGTTATTCATGCCCATATCACATTTCACTTCATAAATTAAGTTCTGTAATTATCTTTGGTTCCTGTGCCTTATTTGTAGTAGGTTCTTGGTTGAGTATTTTAGAGGGACCTAGGAAAGAATTCCAGAAAAGGTCTAGTTCTTACCCACGAGTTCAGCCAAATCCAAGCCATTCCAGGTCACAGTGACCTCTCCTACAGGAGAGGACCTCTCCTACAAACAAGTGTTCTCATTGTCCTCCAAATGCTGTTTATTCCCACTCTGCCCTGCTGTCAACTGATTTTGCTCGCTTCCACAGTTCTATAGCCAGAAAATGGCCCCATATCACTTCCAAATCCTTCACGTACCAAACACTGGATTAGTAGGCTCTCAGTCTTTAACGGTGGGCTGGTTTATATTGTTTATTACCAAGAGGGAGGCCAAGGATTATTTTGGTTGGTTCTTGATTTACATGATGCTTGATTTCCAGTCTAATACAAAATGGTATGCCTTGGCATGTAATGTTACAGGAGG